GGCGTAGCCTGGGTATAGTCCAATGAGATGGGAGAGGTGTCGATGGGTATCAGTCGTCATATCTTTCTCAACTTTCCATTCTGTGGGAGACTCGTTCGATCAACTTCAACGTGGCTAAATTCACGTTTACCTTGAAGCTGGCCCCAAGATCCAATACGGATACCTTTATCCATCTGCGCACGCTTGCTCATCACCTCTTCAGATCAAGTCAGAAGCGGAAGAGATAAAAGACGGCGGAGAAATCGCACCTTCAAGAAATGCGCTGTCTGTGTCTCCTGCGGCTTGATAGCCTTTCTCAACTGAGTTAAAAAGTTGCCATATCAACTGCTGAGCATGTGCACATGCTGGTAAGAAAATTCCGGGTGGTTCAGTATAAACGACAAATGCAAGAGTAAAAGGTCTCACCTAAGGTGATCGGCGCCTGCTCCGGAGAGTTACAGGGACTGACGACGAGAGTAGAATCGTTAAAATGAAGATCAGGTATCAGTTTGTCTAAATGGAAGCTGGCAACACCCTATGTGCAAAGATTACATCCTGCCGACGAGATCGCGACTTCAGATCAAACGGACCTTAACCAGAGGCCAGCCTTGGGTCTGCCACCATTCTACGTCGTTGGTATAATCGAAGTGATCCCATACATGATCCATCTGCAGGAACACTATAAAAATAGCATCAGACACAGAGGAAGCCACCTACCATCCACACCGCAGATTCTAAAGTGTCAGGTCGATTGAGGAGATGGCCAAGGACAAAGCGCTTGAACATAGCTTACCTGGATAATCTGCCCAGATTGCTGAGTTACCGTCTAGCTTCATGCCCGTATGGCCAAATATCTAAAGGATTGTGTGAGTCATGGGTTACTTCTTGGACGAAAACTCGTGAATTTTCGAATACGAACATTCATCTAGATATCATCTAAATGAACAAGCGCCAAATGAGGCAGGTGCTTGAAAGCTCACTTCATTATGCGTTACCCATCCACGAGAAATATTATAGAGGATTTGAGCCGTCTCCTCGCCTCGTGGTGCCCAATTTTTCTGGATCAAGGCAAGATCAAATGGAACCACGTGTCTATATGAAGGATGCAGATAATACTGACCTCGAAGTAATCAAAAAGAGAACTAGTCACATCCATACCAGTCATTTCAGCAACCCAATAGTTCATCTGGATGTTGATGTTTGAATCTGCAAATAGCAAATGTGTACACAAAATTGATGACGAGATGTGAATTGTCCACTAACGGTAATCTGTCTCATGAAAATTTCGTCAGGGTATAGATGACGGAAGAATGAATCCAGAAACCAACCGCAGCTCCATGGGTTATTAACATTTTCCGCCCATTTTCCTTGCAAATTCGTGGGTAAGACACCTCTGGAACTACTGGCGAGCAAATATCGTCCATAGTTGAACAGAAGCCATTCGAGATACGTATTCCCAATGTCCGTCCTATACGCAGCAAGGAGCTGATCCGTTGAATGAAACAGATCAGGACTCTGCCCAAGAGAAAGTGCAAACGGGGACATAACAGCGTTGAAATCGTTGGTGTGTGCAGACAGTATTGATGCATAGGTGAGGTTGGGAGATGTTGCCGATGCCAAAAGGGAGGATAAAGATAAGTGCGGGTCAGCACCACGGAAGGTGAAGTCATGTGCTCGATCACCAGCATCCTGATCATATTCTGTTCCTCCGACCCATGTAAACCATGATTCTGAGGCTCCAGATATGGTCAGACTCGCGTTGACCATGCCTTTGGTGGAGCTACCAGTATGATTACACAATATTGATACCGCTCCGTTGGGATTGACAGCTTGAACCCTGCCAAGAAACTCGTACAACATTCCGGGGTTCGCGACAAAGCCTCGGACTTGAAGAGTTGAGTTGTCGAAGCATGTTATATTGGGTGTCGGGAGGCCCGTTTCCGGCAAAAAAGAGGAGAATGCATGGGTAATTGTAGGGAGTGTGGTGGCGTTGCTAGTCGTCAAATGTTGAACGCATGCGCCAGAAGGATGCGAGCAGAATGAGTCACTGTTCCGCGTCTTTAGTACGACATAGCTTAATAATAATAAGAAAACATTGGCAAGAACCGTTGGAATGTCAAATTTGCCTGCGACCAAATTGTATGGGTAGTAGCCTCGTCTAAATCAAGCCATCTCGCGTAATTTGATACTTTACCCGTGGTGTTCAGGGTTGATATCAGGTAGCCTGCGCCAGCGTACGAGCCTTTTGCGCGATGCATATCAGAAAGTGGCGTGTGGGGCGATATCTAAATTCTTACCATAGGCACCAGCCGGTGTACAAATTTCCTCGATATCTACAATTCGCATATCAATCAAATCTCGTTTAGCTTGAGTCTTTGACTAAGCAGAGGGTTTACGCACTATCTATTTCCCCGATTGAACTTTGAAATATCGTTTGGCGAATATTACGCATATCGTTGGCCATAGTAGACGACTCAGTTGGAAGCATGTTCCCGCCATTGTACGTCTAAACAACGGCATTTAATCAAATATATTTTATAATAATGGCAGGCAAACAGAATGGCGAATTCGAGAAAGAGCGTCATGATGTGGGGAGTGAACCAGAGGCTAGCAAGGGGACTCACTGGATCAGCAAAAGAGCCACCTGTCCACAGCGACTCGATATTTAACTGCGTTGCTTCGTAGGCGGTGCCTCCCGGGGTCATAGCTAATTAATGTCGCAAGACGATCTTTAGTTGTCAAGTACAGACGTTGGAAAAAATGAGTATCTATACCTCCCAAATAACCATTGCCGATTGGTAAATAGTTCTTCGACCAGGATACGCCTGGCTGGGTATACCAAAGCCCGTTGCCGGATTGGGGAAATCCTGGCGGCGCCGACTGGGCGTACCTAGAGAAATAAACGAGAGTCAAGGCCCTGACTGATATCTTAAACCCCATAAGATGGTCTGGAGAGTGTATCTAAACAAACTAGACGCAAGCGTGCGAACTGAAACTTTTCGCCGGCGGCTTCGGTTCTTCTATTCGACGCGTCGAACGAGCTAACTAGTGGCGGATGATCATCCACCCTCGTAAACACGCCACGAGCTGCCACCAGGGCAGTTTGACATGACAGGAAATGAAGCATAAACGACGAGCAGCTAAGGCAACGTACGGGCTAAGAAGCGAGAAAGGGCTCTGTGCAGCCATACAGATGGAAGTACAGAAGAGAAGAGGGCACCGATGCCAACACTGGACAGCACTGGACACGGGCCGGCTCTTATGATCTGTGTGATCAGCAATAGAGCTGTGGACACTCGGAAAGGTAACGGGTGGAACTCGGGGAAACAGAAAGGGAAATACATCTCGAAGAGAACACAGATTTCAAGAACAGAATCAGTTTTGAGCATTAATGGGGTAGTGGTAACCTGGGTCGTTGCCAATCGGCTTACGTTAGCACGTAAAGTCGACCCGCCGGGGGTTCGATTCCCTCTTAATGCAATGTATTTTGGCTGCAGGATCTTGGTGTTATATATTTTGAGCATCGAAACTGTCAAGCCAGGTCTGTTGTTCAGTGTATTTAAATTTATTTCGCGTAGACGCCGCGACGTCGGATCGCAGCAGACCAGTCCACATTACCATTTTCGCACGGGCCCTCGTCCTTAGACTTCTCCACCGCCTGAGCTGTATCCTCTCTCATACACACTATTTCTGTTAGCAATCTGGACGACAAATCATGGCCTCTCGACCTCTAAACGACGATGAGGTCCTTAGCGAGATGAACAAGATGGTACGCATTCGTTTCGACAGTGCTCGGCGAAGATATCGCAGCAGGCTCTAGATCTGACTTCTTGGTTGGTATATGCTCGTACTGGATAGGTTGCTTTTATCAAGCAGGAAGCTCTTGAGAAATCCCGCGAGATCAAAGTTAAAGCAGACGAGGAGTTCGCTATCGAGAAAGTCCGTATCCACTATTGGCTATGAACGAATTGATATTAAGTATTCACGTATGCCGCTTTGACAGGCTAAACTCGTGAAGCAAGAACAACAAGCCATCGATGCGCAGTATGAGAAGAAACTTAAAGGTGCAGAAGTTGCGCAGAAGATGTATATATTCTTATCAGTGCGCTCTTTCTACGCTGACATTCCCAACTCCTTCTATAGTGCACAATCAACATTAACGAATAAATCGCGGCTTAAACTGCTTCACCGTCGCGAAGAGCATCTTCAAGATCTCTTCTCCATATCCCGATCTTCGATTCTTGCCCTTGCAAAGGACGACGGCCGATATATTCAATTTTTGGAAGGCGTCATCGTGCAGGGCTTCCTTCAGCTGATGGAGAGCAATGTGACACTACTTTCACGGAAGAAGGACGCACGTATTGTGAAACAAGCGGCGGATGCGGCGGCAAAGGCATATAATGAATTCAGTGGCCAGGAAGTCCAGTTTGAGATAGAGAGCAGTTTGAGTGACGAGGGGTGAGTATTCATCTGATATTGAACCGAATATCACCTCTAACAGTTCTGATTGTGCTCAGTGCTGGAGGCGTCAAGCTGATCAATGGTTCACGGCGTATTACGATTGACAACACTCTGGATGAGCGTTTGAGATTGCTAGAGGATAGGGTATGTGCATCTATATTCTCCGTTTCTGTTCCGATCTTACGCTTGATTATGCAGATGCTTCCCGAGATCAGGAAAGACCTGTTTGGCGCCAACGAGAATCGTAAATTCTATACATAAGCAAAACATTCCATGAGTCCGGACTTCTAGTACCAGCTTCTGTTACGGCACGAATGTAATAGTCATGGATATCTTGTAACGACTTTCTTGGGACCGATAAGGTACCATTGGCGTGCACATGAAGTATGTTGATCTATAAGAAGACTTGCTGGCTCTCCAAAAGTGCTATCGAGCCTGTTGGGAAATACTATTCTCTCAGTTCCGTGCATGGGGGGGGAAGAAAATGGTCAGATAGCGAGATCTGATCACGGGTTCCTTGCACGCAAAAAATTCTCTTGTTCGAATGAACAAAAAAGCGATGCATTAAGAGGGAATCGAACCCCCGGCGGGTCGACTTTACGCGCTAACGTAAGCCGATTGGCAACGACCCAGGTTACCACTACCCCATTAATGCTTGCAAATGGAATTGATTGGACATCTATAATGGATGTATGATGCACATTTATACCTTATGATAATCTCCAGCTGCCACCATAGTTGAACTGCCTCAGACTGCCTTCAATCAGATGGTGAATCACAATTAAAAGCAGCAGAATGATCTCCCAATGTATCTTGATTGCTTCATGTAGTCTCCACAAAGCATCTTCTTTACAACCTAGATGGGATAAACATTTCACGAGATTGTATAGCCAGATTATGTAGGATTGAACCTGGTAGGACAATTGTCCGATACATATAAATTGTACTGAGGATAAGAATAGGGGCGATTGACGATGGCACACGTGTTTCGTACTACTTAGATCTCGCTCGCGATACCAGTACTAGCAGCAATATGAACGCTGGCATTGACGAAGACGGACCCAACCGAGAAGACTTGAAGAAGATGAATTTATTCCTCTCTGAAGATTTCGCGGTCCTCTTAGGTAGGTGCGTCCAAGAGGCATAGAACTTGAACTTGTGGCTCTTATCATGCGCAACTTCAGGGTTGAAGCGAAGTGCTATCAATGATGGCCGAAGTGATCTTACAGAGGAAGAAAGAATTTTTTGTCTGGCAAGGGTATACGTGCGTCTTTCAATTTGCACTCCTTGTGGCGACCTCTAACTGTCAGTTCCATAGCTCCCTCGTAATGCCATTGAGTCCGAGGAGCAACAAGAGATTGTTTGGTCTCGATTTTGCGCACTTTATCTCCCTGCCACGATTGATCGATTCATAAATCCACCAAAGATTACCAGCACGAAACCTGAGGACGTCGCACGGTTCAGGATATTTAATCCATGCAGCGAAATGCTTGTTGCTACGCAGCATAATGCTTATTTCGCCAAATACTTGCGATCGAAAAATGTTCTTGCTGCTAATGGGAAAATCTTACCTCGAGTAGTCGCTGAACGTGTTGCCGAGCTAGGATTTGCATGGGAACCTGAACTACGCAATCCTTCGGTTGACGGTTTGGTGGATTGCTATAAATCACTCCTAGGTAGTGCGGTGCAGCTGCTGAGCACCTTGTGCGCTGCTTTCATCAAGGAAGACGACCAGGATGTTGTCGTACCGAAAGCCTTACGAGACAAGTTGAAACCGTTGATGAAGACTTGGGCTCAGCGGTACGAGAGACAGTTTTTTGGGGACGTAAGTTTGCGAGTATGGGGCTTGTGGAGTCCTGAACTCGGCAATGGTTGGTTGGGTGAAGAAGCGAAGAAGGTACGAAAAAGATCACTAAATTGGGAGATATGCGGACTACCTGGATGCCAAGTAAAAACGGGACTAAAAGCATGTGGAAAGTGAGTGTATGCTATTGCTCCTCATGCATGTGCGCATATTGACTGTATGCATTTCAGATGCCAGACGGTGCGATATGTGAGAATTCCACCTTCTCATCTCAGCCTCTGTTTTTCTTACATTTGCGAACAGTGTAATCCAGAACATCAACGAACGCACTGGAAATACCCGTTCGGCGCTCAACATAGCCAGATGTGCCACAGGACTGAATACTAGCTGTTTGATTCCGTGAGAAATCCCCTTGACTCTGAAGACGACTAGGATGAACGGGGGTCATTCGAAATGTATCTAGCCAGTGATACGAATTGGTAGAAGAGTATGCAACGTGCTTCAGGGCCACCTGTTTAAAATCAAGGACCCCCTACCAACGCCAAAATCCTCGCCGCGGTTTGCTCTGCCACAGACATGATTGTAGCTTGAGGGTTGCCCACGGGCAATGCCGGGACGATTGATGCATCTACAACAAACTACATGCGAAGGAAGATTGGAGACACGTACAGCAGTCTAGAAGTGCCGAAGCTTGCCAGGTTGTTCGTCTGATATACCTTGGTATCAACGTCAACCACTGCGTCGTACGGGGACAAACCAATCTTGTTGGCTCGTACCCAATGATTTGAGTTCATCGATGTCTTGCGTACACTTCAGCGCCATGAACATAATGTTTTCAGATGTAATACCTTGTTGTAGTCGTTTACTGAGTTTGAAGTCAGATGCTTTCATCAGCTGGCGCAGTGCCAAATTATTACTCGCCAAATTGCTCAATGGTTGTACAATTATCGGGTTCGATGAGTGTCAAATTAGGAACTAAATTCATGTCAAAGATGAAAATGGTGACGGCGTGCGGAAGACTTACCGGTTTTGACACCAGCGACAATATCGCTGAGGACGGAAATCATGGTGGATTTATCAACAGGATCAACGAGCCATGGCTGAATCAGAAGGGTAGCCTGAAGGTTTGAATCTATACCTATACGGCCTCTCGAAGTAACATTCTCGGACCTAGGGCCAGGCATTAATTGTAAGGTGGTTTATAAAGGTACCAAACTTACAGGTGCACCGTTACACTAAAAATTTGACTGTTGGGATGGATCAGAAAAGGAAATGCAACAACTGTGAGTCGACTGACTGACCTGGCATTGTAGGAATAAGAGGTGCTGACATTTGATAATCCCCCGGGACGAACGGTGCCTTGGGCCTGAAATCAGGTGAGCGCAAACCTATAATTGTGATTTCTTACGCGCTACGCACCCACCGCGATTTCCCGTCGGTGCCAACACTGGAGAGCCAGAAATTGAGCCTGACACTGTCAGCATCGGAGATTTAAATAAAGATGCATATGATACTAACTTCGCTGAAGAAGCAGCCAGCACGCCAGATCGATCTTTCAAGTACTGCGCTGCATCGGCAGGAGGAGGATTATCTACCGCACCTGACTATGGGTAGGCATCGATTTGCGGATGGGTAAATATGTAGACTCACTCTGACAGCCGGATTATCGGATACATTTTGACCGACAGTCACATGGATCCATTCGGTCATCGGCGGTAAATTGGCAGCGGCAGGTCCAATACCGCTCATAAATAAAATGCGAGAGGATCCAAAGGATCCTGCAGACAGAATAACACGGCCATTGCGAGTGATGGAAACAATACCATAAGGTCCCAAAGAGGTATCATTGGTCTGCACTCCAGTGATTTGCGAGCCTTGCGAACGACATTGCTGACCAGCGTGTAGTCCTTGTATGTGAAGTTGGGACGAGTTTTGGCAGTGCGGAAATATCAGGCAACCGGCCCGTCGATGAACCATGTCTTTAGAAATTTGAATAAAATCAGCTTACGTCAAAGTTAGTGTTCCACCGCGGATCTGATTGACGCTAACCTGTTTGTACTTACAACGGTAACAAATGCACATGCACCACACGCATATCCTGCTATTTAAAATATGTCACGTGGACATATGTAAATTGTGACGAATATGCGATGACGTTTTATTGGTGTGTGTTTGCCGTGACAAGATATTCCTCGCTTCGCTTGGGCGTATGTAGAATGTCAGGTAGAAATAGAGACAATAATTTATATTGAAGTGATTAAATTTACGATAACAAAAGTTCAGGATAAGTGACATTTAAAATAGTATCAAATTGAGTCCATGACTGCTATTAAACGTAATCCCGGCGCGAATGGAAATTGACGTCGTAAGTAAGAGATTATGGCCTGACTGGGTGTGCAAAAAAGGCAAACGTAATTAAATTTATTGGAAGAAGCGAATCAAGTAATGGGCGGGTGGCTGAGAAAGCGCCCTCTTTTGATCAACCACGCACGGCAGCGGCAGTGACTGGGTCTTCGAGTCCTGGTGCTTTTTAACGACGACGTCGGCAATAGCTCGCTCACGGCTCAAATCGCTCTTTCACTGAGCGTGAGCAACAGTGGTCATAAAATAGCCCGCCTGCTTTATCCTGCAAATCACCCACGAAACGCGTCTTTCTTTCGCCGTCTTTCTGTCCATTCCTCTCTGGCGATTTCTCTTTTTTTGTCAACATCGTTGCAGACTAGTCCATAAAAATTATTGAACGTCGTGATTGGATCAGTCGCGCGCTGAAAACACATACTTTGTTTCATCTGGATACTCAGGTAGATCGCGTCGGTCATGTCTACCTCTGCTTCATCTTCGACTTCGACTGCCCCTGGTCCCAGCGGCCAAAACCCACATGCTTTGCTTCAGAACAACGAAGAGAAGAATAGGTCAGTTTACGCCCTTCGTGAACTTTTGCAAACATGTTTCTCAGTCGTAGTTGCCTCGTGCTATCAGTGTGGTGATCAAAGTCGGGATGGTTGGAGACTCACAGATAGGCAAGACGAGTCTCATGGTCAAATATGTCGAGGGAAGCTTTGACGAAGACTATATCCAGACGCTGGGTACGTGTTTTCAAACAGATGTGTGTTTTCTTCCTGCGTCCTGACTGTCCGTAGGCGTCAACTTCATGGAAAAAACGATCTCGGTCCGCCGAACCACCATTACTTTCTCGATATGGGACTTGGGCGGCCAGCGAGAGTTCGTGAACATGCTGCCGTTGGTGTGTAATGATGCTGTGGCGATCCTGTTCATGTTCGATTTGTCCAGGAAGAGCACATTGAACTCCGTCAAGGAATGGTATAGACAAGCGAGGGGTTTCAACAAGGTGAGCAATTCGAGAATCCTGGTTTCATGGAGTGAAGCGTGTTCTGCAAGCGGCATGATTTCATCCGGACCAATGTCCACATTCTATATTATTTTTGCACCAAGTGAACATCGGCGTTGACATCGTTGCTGATTCCACAGACCGCCATACCATTCCTGGTTGGCACGAAATTTGACACCTTTGCCACCTTTCCTCGAGATGAGCAGGAAGAGATAACAAAGCAGGTTCGTCATGCTTGAATCCTTTCGACCCTAGCTATTTCTGACAACATCGTCACCAGGCTAAGCGCTTTGCTAGAGCAATGCATGCATCCCTGATCTTTTGCTCCACTTCGGCATCGATCAACGTGCAAAAGATCTTCAAGATCGTCCTTGCGAAGGCATTTGATCTGAAGTGTGTGATCCCGGAGATCGAGGGAGTGGGTGAACCGGTTTTGATCTATGTCGATGTATGAACGTAGAGGAATGAATGGAGACGATGGGACATGGTTTTAATTGCAGTC